CCCTCACCTGTGCCGTGCCCACCAGGCTGAGCCAGGCCAGCAGCAGGAGTCGCCACGGCCGCCGGCACCTGCGGGGCAGACAGCCCTGAGCCCGCCGTCCCCAGGGACACGGGGGTGGCACCGGGGTGTCCCCCGGCCCAGGAGCGCCATCGGGCTGGGGACAACACCGAAACCCTCCGGAGACCCCAGCGAGGGGGAAGGAGTGAGGTGGGGGTAAGCGCAGCCTCAGGGCGGGGGTCCCCAGGGAGGGGATGTGGGGTCTGGTGCCACCAGCGGGGGCAGGCGGGGGGGGACACCGGGTGGGCGACACCGGGTGGGCGACACCGGGTGGGCGACGCCGGGTGGGTGACACCGAGTGGGTGACACCGGATGGGTGGGTGATGCCGTGTCCCGCACACGTGCCCGCGCAGTCCCGGGACGGGCGACGGCCCCGCCGCCTCCAGGGCCCCGCGGCGGGCGCCGGGCCGGGATCGCTGCCTGCCGGGGCAGGACCAGACCTGCTCGCCGGGGCTCCGCGTCGCTCCCCGATCCGGATCCGGCCCCGCCGTGGGGMGAGCAGGGTGGGGGGCAGCGGGGGGCCCCCCACGGCCCGAAGCGTCCGATCCTGGAGCACCTCAAAGCCGGAGYGTGGGAGGTTCCGGGGGGCGCGGAGGAGCTCGCGGAGTGCGGGGGGCGCGGACGGGGGTGTCGGGGTCCCATYCCCGTGTCGGGGAATCCCCCGGCCGAGCCGGTTCCCTCCCGCCGCGCAGCTCCCGCGGGGGCCGGGGGGTTGCTGGTGGCCGCCGGCAGCCCCCGACTCCAGCAGGACAGGGGAAGGGGCGGRGGTCGCGGTGGTTCCGCTCCGAGGGGTGTCGGGGGCCGTGTGCGGACCCCGCCGAGGCTCGGGTGATGCCGGGTGCGTGATGCCCGCACCCCGCTGGCAGCGCGGGGGGCACCGCGTGCCTCAGTTTCCCCGCAGGAGCTCCGGGGGTGCGCGGGGGTGCGGGGCGGGGGGGTCCGCGAGGGTTTTAAGCAGAAATCAGGACCTTACCCGGCACCGCGGTGTCCCCCGCCGGGGTCCGAGCCGCCCCCGCGGTCCCCCCCGGCCATGCCGCCCCCGGTCCGCGGCGTCGCGGCGGCTCCGTCCCGGCTCGGCGTCCCGGCGGCGGGGAGCGGGGGGGACCCGGGACGAGCGGGCATCGCCTGCGCAGCTCCGGGGGGGCCGGGCGAGGCTTCCCCCACCCTCCCCGTTCGCCGCCCGTCCCTCCCCGCCGCGTTATTAATATCCAGCCCCAAAGGTGCGCCCAGCCCTCCCCGGCCGCCCGTTAACCCTTGTGGGCCCGGAGCTGCGGCGCTCGGGGGGGGCCGGGAGGGTCCCGAGGGGGGGGTAAATGCCTCAAAGCAACCTCGGCGCCCCCCCGGGAACCCCCCAGCCCCAGCTGCGGAGGGGAAGAGGTTCCAGGAGCCTCCGGCGCGGTTCTGTCCTGAGCCGGGACCCCCCCGGTTCTGGGCATCTCCGGAGCGGGGGAGCCCTGTGGGGTCCCCGTTTTGTGACCGAGATTTTTGGGGGGATTCGGGGGTCAGAGCGGGGGCCGCTGGGTGCAGGAGGGGCACGCAGCACCCTTGGGCTCCTGGGCACCACCAGCCCGGAGCTGAAGGGGTTACAGCGGCGGGGTGCGGGTGTCCCTCGGGGTGTCCCCGCCGCSGAGCAGAGCGGCCACGATGGTCCCGGGGCTCGCAGGGGCTGAGCCMTCTCCGGGCTGGTACATCCGGGACGGGGCCAGCGGGATGCTCTACAAGCGGGGACGGCTCCTGGGACAGGTAAATGCCCTTCCCTGCACCCCCGAACCGCCCCTCCCGCGCCCCCTCCCCGCTGGGCACCCCGGGGTGCGGGGGTCACACAGCCCCGAGGTGAGGGGAACCCGCCCCATCCCTCTGGGGAAAGGGAAACTGAGGCAGAGGGTTGAGCCCCAGCAGATCCGGTCCCTGGGGCTCCTCACCCCAAACAGAGGGGCAKTGGGTGGGCACCCCGAGCCTCGGGCTGTGCCCCGCTGCCCATTCCCCCCGGGGTCATCCTCGCAGGGCACCTTTGGGCGCTGTTACCAGCTGTCCGAAGTGRCCAGTGGCCGGGTCTACGCGGCCAAGGTCATCCCGCGAGCCCGGCTCGCCGCTGCGGCCATCGGGGCCAGGGTGAGTCCGGGAGGGGGTGGGGACAGTCCCCAGGGAGAGGGGACAGCACCCATGGGGTCCCCGCAGAGCCACGCGTGTCCCTCCCCGGGGGTCTGGGTGGGTTCCCATCCCCTCGGAGGGGTGCCGGGGGTTCCCGGTTGTACCGGGGGTCCCCGGTTATCCCGAGGGTCCCCGGGGGGCTGCGGGGTTGTGTCGGTGCAGGTGGAGCGGGAGCGGGAGCTGCAGTGTCACCTGCGCCACCCGCACATCGTGCGCCTGCACGGCCACTTCGCCGACCGCGGCCACGTCTACCTGCTGCTGGAGCTCTGCAGCCGCGGGGTGAGAGCGGCACCCCGAAAACGGGACCCGAACCCCGAAATGAGACCCTGAACCCTGAAACGAGACCCTGAACCCTGAAACTGGGACCCTGAACCCCGAAACTGGGACCCTGAACCCTGAAACGAGATTCTGAACCCCGAAATGGGGACCCTGAACCATGAAACTGGGACCCTGAACCCTGAAGCGAGACCCTGAACCCTGAAATTGGGACCCCAAACCCCGAAATGAGACCCCGGACCCTGTAACGACACCTCGAATCCCGAAACTAGGACCCTCAAACTCCAAAACTGGGACCTTGAACCCTGAAATCAGATCCCGAACCCCTAAACTGAGCTCCTGAACCCCAAAACTGAGCACTCTGAGGTCGGGGTTTCATCAGGATCCAGCCTGATGCCTTGCTCTGTCCCCAGTCCCTGTCCCTCTGTCCCCAGACCCTGTCCCCAGCCCCTGTCACCGTCCCTGTCGCTGTCCCCAGCCCCTGTCACTCTGTCCCCAGCCTCTGTCGCTGTCCCCAGCCCCTGTCCCTCTGTCCCCAGTCCCTCGCTGACATCCTGCGGGCGCGGGGCCGCCTGACGGAGCCGGAGGTGCGCTATTACCTGCGGCAGCTCCTGTCGGGGTTGCGCTACCTGCACGGACACGGGATCGTGCACCGGGACCTCAAACCGAGTGCGTGGGGACGGGGAGGGGACCCGAGACACCGGGGGGTGACCCGGGGAGGGGACCCGAGACACCGGGAGGGGACCCGAGACACCGGGGGCTGACCCGGAGCTGGCTGGGGGTGACCCGAGACTCCGGAGATGACCCGGAGCTGGCTGGGGGTGACCCGAGGAACCGGGGGCTGACCCGGGGATGGCTGGGGGTGACACAATTTGTGTCACTCTATCCCCAGGCAACTTCTTGGTGACGGAGAGGATGCGGGTGAAGATCGGGGACCTGGGGCTGGCACAGCCGGCGGCGCCACCCGGGAGGCGCTGGGGGTGAGCGGGGCCGGGAAGGGCTGCGGGGAGGGGTTTCACCCTGCCCGTGTCCCCTCCGGGGGTCACCGGTCCTGTCCCCACCCCTCCCCGCTCAGGGCACTCTGCGGGACACCCAGTTACCTGGCCCCGGAGGTGCTGGACCGCAGGGGACACGGGGTGCCCTCGGACATCTGGGCACTGGGCTGCGCTCTGTGAGTGGGCAGAGAGGGAGGGAGGGCAAGGGGAGAGATGGAGGGCAGGGGAAGATGGAAGGAGGGCAGGGGGAGAGGGAGGGAAGGTGGGGGATTTGGAGGGAGGATGAGGAGAGATGGAGGGAGGGTAAGGGGAGATGGAAGGAGGGCAGGGGGAGATGGAGGGAGAGGATGGAGAGAGGACGGGGGGACTGGACAGAGGACAAAGGGGTTGGAGGGAGGACAGAGGGACCGGAGGATGGACAGAGGGACCGGAGGATGGACAGAGGGATTGGAGGGTGGACAGAGGGACTGGACAGAGGACAGAGGGGTTGAAGGATGGACAGAGGGATTGGAGGGTGGACAGAGAGCCCAGAGGGAGGACAGGGGGGCCGGAGGATGGACAGAGGGATGGAGGATGGACAGAGGGACCAGAGGATGGACAGAGAGCCCAGAGGGAGGACAGAGAGGCCGGAAGATGGACAGAAGGATGGAGGATGGACAGAGTGCCCACAGGAAGCACCGGGCACACTCCCAGGTCCCCCCAGGTACGCGGTGCTGACCGGGCACGCCCCGTTCGAGCCGCGGCCCCGGCCGGAGCTGTACCGGCACATCCGCGGCGCTCGGTACCCGCTGCCCGCCCGGCTCTCGCCCCGTGCCCGTGCTCTCATCGCCCACATGCTGCACCCCGAGCCCGCCGCACGGCCCAGCCTGGACGCGGTGCTGGGCCACCCCTTCCTCACGCAGGTGCGGGCTTTGGGGACACGGGSAGGGCAGAGGGGACACGGGGGACGCGGGGACATCACCGCCTGTCGCTCCCCAGGGTTTCACGCCGCACAAGCTGCCAGCCCGCGCCTGCCACTCCGTGCCCATCTTYGTGGGCCAGCACCCGCTGTGGCGGATGGTGACAGCGCTGCGCTGCTGGCAGGGGTGTGGCTGTGTCCCTGTCACCYCGGGGAGCAGCCGTGCCCCACCCTAACGGAGCCGGAACCCGAATATCGGCGGAGGAAAACCTTTATTAGTGTTGGGAACCGTCTAAATCCAGTCATGGAAACAAGCGGGGATGTGACCGGTACACACACACACACACACACACACACACACACACGCACACGCCGGTTTGCTCTTAAAACTGTTAACAGGAAAAAAAAAAAAAAAAAAAAAAATGGCGATCTCTTCCCTGCCAGCCTGGGTGGAGTGGGAAAGGGGTCAGTGGGACTGCAGAGGTGTCACCGGTCAGGAGTGACACCAGGGAGGGGACAGAGGCAGCGGCGGGCTGGGAAGGAGGGAGGAAAGTGCGTGGTTTCCCTGTTCAGCTTCACTTCTCTCTCTGTGGAGAGAAGATCTCGAAGAAAACGATGAAAGCTCGGTAAATCGGGACTAAAAACAACCCCGGTGACAGAGCTGACGCGGGGAGACAAGGACAAAATGCACGAGGTGGCCCCAGCGAGCACCAAGGAGCCACTTCCAGAACCGTCCATGGGGCAGGGGCAGAGGGGACAGCCCGAGGGTGTCACCGGTCCGGAGGTGTGAATAGCGGGGTCTGGGGGCGGGAGGGGACAGCATCGACTCTGTCTGCACTTGGTGGAGCCTTCTCCCAGTGCCAGAGCTGCTCTGGTGACAAAGGAGAGGGGACAGGGAACAGCCTGGAGGGGCTGGGGCGCTCGGGCTGTCACTCGTGTCCCCAAACCATGGCAGAGTGGCAGGGACAGACCCCACAAGCCTCAAATGGCCTCACACAACACTCCCCAGGCTGCAAAGGGTGGGACACAAATCCCAGCTCTCTCCGAAGCTCCTCAGCCCCCCTTGGAGCTCCTCAGCCCCCTTTGGAGCTCCTCAGCCCCCCTTGGAGCTCCTCAGCCTCCCTTGGAGCTCCTCAGCCCCTCAAGGAGCTCCTCAGCCCCCCTTGGAGCTCCTCAGCCCTGCGATTCCTCCGGTAGCAAACGCAGCCTTTGCCCTGGACAGGAGCGGTGCCACAGCGCCCTGTGCCACGCAGGGGACAGCAGGGACAGCCCGGGGCAGGTGGCACAGCCCAGGCTGGCTGCTGTCCCTCCCTCCCTCCCTCCCCGGCCGGCAGCTCAAGGCCTGGCAYRGAGCCCACGGGATATTTTTATCCCRGCATTTGTGTTGTTTGAAGCCCTGGCTCGGTGTTTTCGGTCACAAACACAACCCTCCCCCGTCCCAGCCCGGCTCAGCGCTGACAGCCACAGCAGAACCCTCAGCTGCCACAGCCTGAGCCCCTCTGGCCACGCTGGGGTGGCCCTGGGGTGACCCCAGGATGGCCCTGGGAGCCCCCTCAGGACATCTGGCAGCACACAAAGGCCACGTCCCCAAAAATCCCCCCGGTTCTGGGGACATGAGCACCTCTGTCCCCTCCCTGAGGACCTGATTCCAGTCTAATCAAGTGGGGTTTAAGCTYTGGGATCTCCCCATCTTTATTGCCCAAAGATGGGGAGAGCAGGGCTGTCCCTGCCCTCGTTTGGGGCTCAGGACAGTTGTGGCCGTCCCTGGGTACAAACCAAGATTTGTTAAAGAGAAAGGATTTAAAAACAACGATTCAACTTTGGGAATTCCTCTCCCCCTCCTCCCCGGCTCCAAACGAGGCCAAAACTCACCCTCGTGCAGGGATCGGGTTCAAAGTTCAGCCAATTGGTGTGGGTGACCCACAGCCCTGGCCGGGTGACAA